TGGGCCCATGAAACCCCCCCCCCCCCCTTCCTCTCCCACATGCCAGATCCAGCTCATGTAGTGCCCACTCCATCTGAACCAGGCTACACAGGCTGGTTCAGTGTGTGCCGTACATAGGTGAGCTCTGAGACCGAGAGCAGGACTGTGGCCCAGACAGTGGGGCTGCATGTGTTGTATCTCTGACATCTCTGCTTTAGAACGTTCTTTATAGAAAATGTTCACAAAACAGCTAGATAGTTTTTAATATCCACAGATTCCTACTTTTTAATATTGATAGTACAGGATTGAGAAGTGGCCACAAGGCATGATGTTCTCCAGCGTCTGGTGCCCTGCATCAGGATGCTAATCTCTTGTTAATCTGTTGCACTAATGTACTGTTGTGAGTGAGGCTCTACATGTGTCCTCTCCAGGTTTCCTAATTTCTTGACTCATCTGATTCTTCCTCAGTACCATTGTCAGGGGTTATTTGAAGGACCACAGAATCTGAAAATGTTATTGAATGAGTAGAGAAAGTAAATGTCAGCTTCAAAACAGGAAAGCTCATTCAAGGACCAGTTTTATCCAAGGTTAATGGAAAAACAGGCTGTCAACACAGTATTGGATCTATGTTTATATTGCACCTACTTATTAAAAAGAATGAAAGGAGAAAAAAGACACGTTTTCATGGTTTACTCTTTGTTTCCCTCCATCGTAACACATTGGTATTGGATCTGTCATTGTAATGAATTTGCAAACTTCAGTATGAAGTAGAATAGGAGAAATTGTCTGAATTTACTCAAATGCCCAATGAAGCATTCTTCTAAACCAATAATCACCAAACAGTGGATCTCAATCCACCGGGAAATCTCGGAGCCTCTTGCGGTAGATCTTGGAGCCTCTTGGAATTGATCCAAGGTTGGGATGGGGGCTGAGTGCTCATGTGTATGCACACACATGCCCCAGCCCAACAGGTCCATGGGGGAGGGAAGAGGTGAGGGCTAGGTCAAGGCCCTGCAGTGAGGGACACTGCTGCAGAGGTAGGAGCAGGGGTAAATTGAGTGGGGCTCTGGTCGGGTGGGACTTTCCTGCTGTGGAGGTGTGCCCCCAAATAATTTTTTCTCCCTCTGCCTTGATCTGCCCCGCCCTTCCCTCTCCACAGACTTACCTGATGTGGGGGAGGGGGGGCGTCAGTGGTGTACATTAGATCCTGGGTTGCTTTTAAATGCCGAAGGTGATCTCCTACATAAAATGGAGATCACATAAAAATGCCACTGTTCTAAAACAAGCTTGAAAATTCTAATGAAAGCTAAACTGTCACATCCTTTTCAAGTTCATTTTTGGCACAGTGCACAGATGTAGTTAAAGTTGGGGTAACATTTGAAGTTGCTCTGTAGTCTGCTGTATATGTGAATCTTTTGTTCCATTTAATAACCTGGGAATTGAAGTTTAAAGGAAGGAATTCTGAAGTTGCATCATAGAGTTATCTTAAATTAGCTGGATCTTTATACACGTGGCTACCAACCTGCCTTGATTGACAAGTCTAGCTCTACCACGAAAGTACTTCAACTAAGGGTAAAATTCCCTTGTAAAAGTTCTGTAGACTTTTTTTTTTTTTTTTTTTTTTT